GACCTCTAATCAGTGATTACTAGAACCCTAATCAGTGATTATTAGACCTCTAATCAGTAATTACTGGAACCCTAATCAGTGATTACTAGAACCCTAATCAGCGATTACTAGAACCCTAATCAGTGATAACTAGAACCCTAATCAGTGATTACTAGAACCCTAATAAGTGATTACTAGAACCCTAATCAGTGATTACTGGAACCCTAATCAGTGATTATTAGAACCCTAATCAGTGATTGCTAGAACCCTAATCAGTGATTACTAGAACCCTAATAAGTGATTACTAGAACCCTAATCAGTGATTACTAGAACCCTAATCAATGATTACTAGAACCCTAATCAGTGATTTCTAGAACCCTAATCAGTGATTACTAGAACCCTAATCAGTGATTTCTAGAACCCTAATCAGTGAAAGCAAGATATCTGTTCCTTTCTATCCCAAAGTTTCTAGCTTTAGATTTAATTAAAAGAATGGCCTGAGGGTCTAGAACTACTAGAACTTTATACTTTATACTTTAAACAAAAAGTTTGCAAACTGTTGGATAGTTCTTCATTTATCAGAACTATGATTGATTGATTAAAATAAAAACCATTTTCAACAACATTAATATTATGTTTTAAACTTTCCACTTCCTGTCATTCACTCGAAATTATAACCAAGAACTTCTCCCCCCCCCCCCCCCCCCCACCAGCCTATTTTTACCCCAAGCTTAGGCGAACACCCCTTCTATCTATTAGTCACATGACCCCCTACTCCTCCTAAACGTTTATACTATATATATAGTACATATGTATATACCTGTTTGTTAAGTATTAAATATTAAAAATCATAAAGTTGCACACTAGGGAGCTCTAGTAATTATAATGGTAATCCTACTTTACCCCAGTCCAACTATATTAATTCAATATTTTCTCAATTTAATAAAATATATTCAACCATGTTTTCTGTGCTACAGCTGTTCAAAATATGAACACTGTATACTCAGTGATTTTGATGCTCTTTTAAAATTTTTTATTTTTATTTTCTATTATTAATATTATTTTACGAGCAGTATTACGTAAAAGAGAAAATTATAATATTGATCATTTTAATAAGAGTGTACAGTGACCCTTGATTGACATGAATTCCAATTCACAAATGTAGCCTTAAAAGTTTTGTCATAAGATAGGACTCATGTGTGTGGTTTCTCTATAAAAGTGACTTGAGCATATATTTCACTGAAACTATAGACAAAGGAATTGAGTCTTTGTAACAAACTTTGGTTTTCTAATCCCTATATTTTTTCAACCCAGTGCAGTAGACCTTTGATATTTCACACTATGAAATATGTTAGATTTAACAATCTAAGTTTGAAATATCAAAGGTTTACACTAACCGGTTGCAGAGATATAGAGATTACAACATTTGGGTTTGTGGCAAAAACTCAGATCCTTTTCAGAAATAACAAAAAGCGACGTTATCTTCACATTATTAATCAGATTAAGGTTTCAAGGGTGTATTGGGCATACCACTCTATAACTGGAGGATCATTCATAAACTATACCTTGAAGAGCACTAGGGGTGTTAGCAGGGTTCCATCAGATAATAGGGAGAGAATAATTACCACGTCAGATGTATCTATCCCTGTAATAGAAATATTTATAATATCAGATATATCTATCCTTGCAATAGGAATATTTATAATATCAGATACATCCATCCCTGAAATATGAATTTTTTAGAATATCAGATATATATATCCCTAAAATATGAATATTTATAATATCAGATATATATATCCCTGAAATATGAAATATGAATAGTGACTATTTAGACTGGATATAACATTTCTTGGAGTCATGTGAGTAACCACACCACATTTGGAGTTGATCGGTTCAGCCGTTTTGACGTTTATTTTGAAAATCTCAAGACCTGGTTTTTTATGTTTAAACTGGAATACTGCAATAATTCTTTTCATAAAAAAATGCTCCATGGATAGAATACGATATTAAAGTCGTCACTTAATTCCCATTTTTATTGGGACCCCCTGTATAAAAGATAAATTACCTGAATGTTTCAATACACAACCAGACCGCTTTTCCAGAATAGAATTAAAATGTATAAGTAATTCATCCACACTTCCTACACAACCCTTTCCAAACCTTTTCTCCTAAATATCATCATAGTTAATTATTGTATAAGTGTACAGTGTACAGCATACAGTGTACAACATACATTGTACAGCAAACATTGTACAGCATACATTGTACACCATACATTGAACAGCATACATTGTACAGCAAACATTGTACAGCACACATTGTACAGCATACAGTGTACAGCATACATTGTTCAGCAAACATTTTACAGCACACATTGTACAGCATACAGTGTACAGCAAACAGTGTACAGCATACATTGTACAGTATACAGTGTACAACATACAGTGTACAGCATACAGTGTACAGCATACAGTGTATAGCATACATTGTACAGAATACAGTGTACAGCATACAGCATACAGCGTACAGCATACAGCGTACAGCATACATTGTACAGCATAAAGTGTACAGCATACAGTGTACAGAATACAGTGTAAATCATACAGTGTACAGGATACAGTGTAAAGCATAGTGTACAGCATACAGTGTACAGTATATGGTGCACAGTATACGGTGCACAGCATAAAGTGTACAGTATACGGTGCACAGCATAAAGTGTACAATATACAGTGTACAGCATACAGTGTACAACGTACAGTGTACAGTATACAGTGTACAGTATACACTGTAAAACATACAATTTACACCATACAGTGCACAGTATACAGTGTACCGCATAAAGTGTAAACTATACAATGTACAGTATACAGTGTAAAGGATAGTGCACAGCATAGAGTGTACAGTATACATTGTACAGCATACAGTGTACAGTATACATTTTACAGCGTACGGTAAAAAGCATACAGTGTACAGAAAAGAGTGTACAGCATAGGGTTTACAGTATAAAGTGTACAGCAAAAAGTGTACAGCATACAGCAAACAGTGCACAGCATACAGTGTAATTAATACAGTGTACAGCATACAGTGTACATCCTACAGTGTACAGCAAACAGTATATAGCATACAGTGTGTAGTATACAATATACATTGTACACAGTATATTTACAGTATACACAACAGACAGAGGATTTAGGTATTAAATGTATTTTATTCACAATATTAAAATTCTGAAAAAAAACTTCAAATTAATTTATCTTTAAAATGGTTTACCTGCTGTAACTGGTAGAGAACTCTTCTGAATGTTCGAATCCTAGAAAATGGATGTAAATATGCAATCAATCAACTAATGAATAATAAACCTGTTTTCTACCTGGATTCTAAATAATAAACCTGTATTTTAACTAGATTTAAATAATAAACCAGTATTCCACCTGGATTCTAAATGATAAATCAATATTCTACCTGGATTCTAAATAATAAACCAGTATGCTACCTGGATTCTAAATAATAAACCAGTATTCTACCTGGATTATAAATAATAAACTTGTATTCTACCTGGATTCTAAATAATAAACCTGTTATTCTACCTGGATTCTAAAGTATAAACCTGTAGGCTGTATTCTACCTGGATTATAAATAGTAAACCTGTATTATACCTGGGTTCTAAATAATAAACCAGTTATCTACCTGGATTCTAAATAATAAACCAGTTATCTACCTGGATTCTAAATAATAAACTAGTTATCTACCTGGATTCTAAAGAATAAACCATTTATCTACCTGGATTCTAAATAATAAACCAGTTTTCTACCTGGATTCTAAATAATAAACCAGTTTGCTACCTGGATTCTAAATAATAAACCAGTTTTCTACCTGGATTCTAAATAATAAACCAGTTTTCTACTAGGATTCAAAATAATACTACCTGGATTCTAAATAATAAACCAGTTTTCTACCTGGATTCTAAATAATAAACCAGTTTTCTACCTGGCTTCTAAATAATAAACCAGTTATCTACCTGGATTCTAAATGATAAATCAGTTTTCTACCTGGATTCTAAATGATGAGGAAGTTTACTACTAAAACTACCTTCACTGTTCATGAACTCTTTGTGACGCTTGCAAAATCTGAAAAAACCAAGAAAAATGATAAAGTTTAACTAAATTCCAACCTAAAGTCCGTAACTAATTCAAAGGTCAGCAACCTACAAAGAAAACCATGGTAACTAATCCATAAGTCGGTAAATAAATGAGTCAGTAACTGACTGAATAAGTCGGTAACTAACCCACAAGTCAGTAACTACCCCCAAGTGCCGTGTATAAAGTCGGTAATTAACCTAATAGCCCAATATAAAGTCAGTGACTAGCCTAAGTGCCCAGTAAAAATTCAGTAACTAACCCAAGTCACTCAAGTTCATCCTGTTTTATTCTGTTGCGTAAAACTCGCTGGGTCAACCACATAATACTGGACACCCTAGACTGTATTTTTGTGACTATCCTAAGTGCCCAGTATAATGTCAGTATAATTACCTAAGTGCCCAGTATAAAAGTCAGTTACTAACCTAAGAGCCCAGTATAAAGTCAGTAACTAACCTAAGTGCCCAGTATAAAGTCAGTAACTAACCTAAATGCCCAGTATAAAGTCAGTAACTAAACTAAGTGCCCAGTATAAAGTCAGTATCTAACCTAAATGCCGAGTTTAAAGTCATTAACTAACGTACCTAAGTGCTGAGTAGAAAGTCAGTAACTAACCAAAGTGCCCAGTGTAAAGTCAGTAACTAACCAAAGTGCCCAGTATAATGTCAGCAAATAACCTAAGTGCCCAGTATAAAGTCAGTTACTAACCTAAGTGCCCAGAATAAAGTCAGTAACTAACCTAAGTGCCGAGTATAAAGTCAGTAAATAACCAAAGTGCCCAGTATAATGTCAGTAAATAACCTAAGTGCCCAGTATAAAGTCAGTTACTAACCTAAGTGCCCAGTATAAAGTCAGTTACTAACCTAAGTGCCCAGTATAAAGTCAGTTACTATCATAGGTTAGATATAGCTCACGAGCCTAAATACATTCTTATAGATAATTTAGGGGCGGATCAAACCAATATCTCAGGGGGGCCTTATTTATCACTGTATGAAATATTTAAGTTCAGGATTGTCTTTTTTTTCCCCAAACACAATAATAACAGCTGCATCATACCCTTAACTAAGATTTTTTTTGTTTTCATTTTCTTAAAACAAAAAAGAGGTGTCTCTGGTTTTTAAAATGATAAGAAAGAAAAAAAATTTAAAAAAGAATAAATAATCATATAAACAACCTTGAACATTTTTTAGATAACTTCCTTTTTTTTAGAGAGAGATAAACATTTATGATTTATGATTAATGCGGAGACACACCACCAGATGGCATCAAGAAGTAAGATATAACTGACGTGCGGTTCGCCCTACCATGTGATTATACATACAGGTACTTCATTCGAATCAAATAGATTGTTAAGTACAATAGATGGCAACGTAGAATTTGTACACTCTCAGTACAGTTGTATTCTGTCGTCACAAGTGTCAATTCAGTTTTTGTGTCCGACAAAATTATCAATAATAGTGATAATTTTAAAATAAAGTGCTTTTCTTACAGTAAAATAAGTGAAATTTTATGTTTTTTTAGTTTCTGTTTTTATTTAATCTTAGAAAACATGTCAACTAATGTGAGACAATGTCGTTTTCTTTGTTATATTTGACACTTGTGACGTTGTATATAATTTGTTCATTTCACTGTTGCCACCTATTGTACTTGATAATCTTTTTGATTCGAATAAGAAATATTTGTCTGGTGTACATTTACTGCGTATACAATAACCTATTCTGAATATTTCATATACAAATGGAGTACTCGTCTGAAAAGCATGTACAATCATATGGTAGGGCGGACCTATTCCTTATTCCCTGGATGGCATGCACATTAGTATTATAAATATAAAGATGAGAAATTAATTTAAAAAGGTATATCAGTTTAGGTCATTTTTTAATATTAATTACGTTGCATCTTTCATCCCTGGATGCTTTTATTTCATATCATGAATTAATTTCATTACGGGGGAGGGGTTCGGCCCCCACTCCAGGGGCTCAGGGGGGGTTCCCGTGGGCGCTGCCCCCCCCTGTGATCCGCCCCCGATAGATATAGCTGACGAGCCTAAATACATTGTCAAGAGCCTAAAACATTGTTATAAATATAGCTCACGAGCTTAAAGGGAGTGACTTGCTAGGCATGGTAGTTGAGCTGAACTTGCAGAATTGTAGAGAAAATCTAGGATTCATTTAATACCAATGAGACATTTTTACGATGTACAGTTTTTAAATAAGAGCGTAAAATCGTTAGTAATATTTCACCAGTTGTTTTAATCAGCAGAAGAAACGTTAGAAAAGTTGGATTGGTTTCGGTTGGAAGTGAAGTGGTTTATGACTCTACAGAGACTATAACATAAAATGTTGGCTTAGAAACATTTTTACAAAATATGAAGAATACAGGGAGACAATCAACCCTTCAACTCAATACAGGGAGACAATCAGCCCTTCAACTCAATACAGTGAGACAATCAACCCTTCAACTGAATACAGTGAGACAATCAACCCTTCAACTCAATACAGTGAGACAATCAACCCTTCAACTCAATACAGCGAGACAATCAACCCTTCAACTCAATACAATACTCAAAAAAATCTTGCAATGCTGTCATTTAGAAGAAATATTATTTTAAGTGTAACGTTAGAAACATTAAGGCTTGAACATTTTAATACAACGCAACGTATAGAACATTTTTTCAAATCTTTCTTAGAAACGAAACGAATAAACAGTTTTGATTGCCAGTTGTAAAAAAGTGTAACAAAAAAAGTTTTCACAATAACGTTTTGATAAATCGCAACGTAAGAAAAGTTGCATTTTAGTAAATTTTCTAAACGTAATTGAAAGAGTTTATATTGGAAAAGTTGAGATAAAACGTAACGTTAACAAAAACTATTCTATGCACTGAAATGAATTGCAACGTACAGAACTATGCCCAAATGGAGTTTTATGAAAGCAAAACGTTTGTCACCTTTTAGTTTTCAAATCAAGTGAAAGTGTAACGTAAGGTCTCTAAAAATATTTACCTTACATGAAAGTGGAACGTTAAAACATTGTGTTTATATTACAAAAGCTTTAAGTTTTTTAAAACGGGAAATGCAAAAGTGAAACGGAGCTTCCTTTTTTCACTAACGTTTACAAAAGCTTAACGTTGTATAAGGTATTCAAGTGCAGAAAATTCATTACGTAACGTTACACTATGCCATAAAATTTCATAATGTGAAACGTAACGTTTCAAACGTTTATACTTTTGATGAACACTATCGTAACGAAAGCTAAAATCTAGAAAAATCAAAACGTTGACATCCCTACAACCAACCCTTCAACTCAATACAGTGAGACAACCAACCCTTCAACTCAATACTGGGAGACAACCAACCCTTCACCTCAATACAGGGAGACAACCAACCCTTCAACTCAATACAGATAGACAACCAACCCTTCACCTCAATACAGGGAGACACTCAGCCCTTCAACTCAATACAGGGAGACAACCAACCCTTCAACTCAATACAGTGAGACAATCAACCCTTCAGCTCAATACAGGGAGACAACCAACCCTTCAACTCAATACAGATAGACAACCAACCCTTCAACTTAACACAGGGAGACAACCAACCCTTCAACTCAATACAGTGAGACAATCAACCCTTCAACTCAATACAGGGAGACAACCAACCCTTCAACTCAATACAGATAGACAACCAACCCTTCAACTTAATACAGATAGACAACCAACCCTTCAACTCAATACAGTGAGACAATAAACCCTTCAACTCAATACAGGGAGACAACCAACCCTTCAACTTAATACAGATAGACAACCAACCCTTCAACCCAATACAGGGAGACAACCAACCCTTCAACTCAATACAGATAGATAACCAACCCTTCAACTCGATACAGGGAGACAATCAACCCTTCAACTCAATACAGATAGACACCCAACCCTTCAACTCAATACAGGGAGACAACCAACCCTTCAACTCAAAACAGGGAGACAACCAACCCTTCAACTCAATACAGGAAGACAACCAACCCTTCAACTCAATATAGATAGACAACCAACCCTTCAACTCAATACAGGGAGACAACCAACCCTTCAACTCAATACAGGGAGACAACCAACCCTTCAACTCAATACAGGGAGACAACCAACCCTTCAACTCAATACAGATAAACAATCAACCCTTCAACTCAAAACAGGGAGACAACCAACCCTTCAACTCAATACAGGGAGACAATCAACCCTTCAACTCAATACAGGGAGACAACCAACCCTTCAACTCAATACAGGGAAATAACCAACCCTTCAACTCAATACAGATAGACAACCAACCCTGAAACTCAATACAGGGAGACAACCAACCCATCAACTCAATACAGGGAGAAAACAACCCTTCAACTCAATACAGGGAGACAACCAACCCTTCAACTCAGTACAGGGAGACAACAACCCTTCAACTCAATACAGGGAGACAACCAACCCTTCAACTCAATACAGGGAGACAACACAACCCTTCAACTTAATACAGATAGACAACCAACCCTTCAACCCAATACAGGGAGACAACCAACCCTTCAACTCAATACAGATAGATAACCAACCCATCAACTCAATACAGGGAGAAAACAACCCTTCAACTCAATACAAGGAGACAACCAACCCTTCAACTCAGTACAGGGAGACAACAACCCTTCAACTCAATACAGGGAGACAACCAACCCTTCAACTCAATACAGGGAGACAACATCCCTTCAACTCAATACAGGGAGACAACCAACCCTTCAACTCAATAGGCAAGGAGTAAATTGTTGAGCAAAGAAATCACTTAAACCATATTATTTTTAGTTAGAAACTGCTATTCAAGGGGATTTTCTAATTTTATAATTTATTGCAAGGTTTATTTCAATATTAATACACTTTAAGCATTAGCCGAATATTTAGCAAGGGAAAAGGCAAAAGAGAGGGCTTATTTATTTTCATTTTCAGGCCATCCATTAACCTGTAGATACATTCCTCAACCCCTAAATACACCTTGACCTACAGATACCTTTCTAATACCTCCCATAACCCCAAAATACCCCTTAAACCCTAAATACCTCCATTAGCCCCTAAATACCTATTAAAACATAAATCCATGCGTCAACCCATATAAAACCATCCCAAAACTTTAAACTTCTTGCAGAAATAGAAATCTGTAGACTCTTTTTAACTTCCCTTGACCCTCCTCTCTCTAATGCAAGCAAGTTTGCTTCTTACAATACTAGGCTTTTACCGGGATTTAACAAATTTATTTTGGGTTCTCGTAAAAATGACAAATGGTGAATTAATGAATAATTGATTAATGGGAAGTTAATGAGGAAGGTACAGGGTTACCCATAAAGGATAATACTTTAATGACTTCAAACTCCTTAAATAAAGAAAGTATCATTTAGGATAATGAGACGTGTAAAGCTGCGGGAATCCAGAAATGTAAGAAATAAGAATAAATACATTCCGTACACTCGTCTTCTTGTGGATAAGTTTCCACTTCCCTTTCAAGGAAAAGTATTGATTTAAGGGGGAGTGGAGATATACTTCGGAGAAAAAAAACTCAGCGATGTGGTTGAACTAGCGATTAAGTCTACAGGACTTGTACACAAGTGCAACGAAGTACAGAATAAGAAATACGACTTTTCTTTCTTTAATTAAGAATTAATTTAACCTTTGAAATCATATTCTTTAATTTAACATTTTTGCCCTCAACTCCTGTGTTTTACATTTTACATATATTTGTTTCTTAAAACAATGTGCATTGCAGGGACTAAAGACAAAAACTGAAAGAAAAAATGTAATTTTACGGTTGAAGCTAGGAAAAGGTAGATTAAAAACTTGCATATCAGAGGTTGAAGTCAAAAGAATTTTAGAAAAAATTTGTAATTCCATCGGTTAAAACAAATAGTATTAAAAAAATTGTGCTTTCAGCGGTTGAAGACATAAAATTTACATTAAAAATCATTTTTCATTCTTATTCTAAATTGCAAAGAGTTTCAACCGCTACAGCTGTTTTATCCCCAAAGAATATATCACTGAATGAAAAGAAAGACACAAAGACTTCATCATCAGGTTGCAAAGATATCTATTTATTTAAGAATTGGAAGAACTAAGTGTGCAATTAATTTATAAACTGCAAACCCGTAAATGATACTCGCATGGTATTTACAATCAATAATTATTATTACTTAGTTTTTGGAATTTTGACTTTGGGGCTTTCTTTTGATTCATTCAAAGAGTGTTTTGTACTTATCTTGTCTGAATTTATAGTTTAAGATATTACAGGTCTAGATATCAGGTTGCTTTGATAATGTATGAATAGACAATATTTGAGTTTGATTCAAGTGATCAATGCTCCTAAGTTGGTGACTGGTTTTTAAACTGTGTAATTTGATTTCCATTAACCAAGTGAGGTTAAGGAATACAACTAAAGTTTGCAGAAAGTTTGAAACCTTTTGTTCAACTTTTTGATATTAATGAGAAAATTACCTTAGATTGGACATGACATGATTTAGGTCGGTTACCCCGGGCTTTCCTGTTTAATTAGCTTTTATTCTTTTATTTAACAAATTTACTTGTCAAATAGGATGATAAAGAGGTCTCCTGGAGTAATTCATTTAATTGTTTGAAAATCGAAAGAATATTCGTGGATTTAAACGTTAATTAGACCGTTTTTATTATACTGCAGGAACACTTTGCAGCTCCCCCAAGTCTTTATATCCTTAATGTTTGCCGCTCACCCTACCCTTTATATTCTTATTGTTTGCAGCTCCCCCTACCCTTTATATCCTAATTGTTTGCAGCTCTCCCTACCATTTACATCCTAATTGTTTGCAGCTCCCCCCTACCCTTTATATCCTTATTGTTTACAGCTCGCCCTACCCTTTATATCCTTATTATTTGCAGTTCCCTCTACTCTTTATATCCTAATTGTTTGCCGCTCTCCCTACCCTATATCCTAATGGGTTGCAGATCCCCCTACCCTATATATCCTTATTGGTTGCAGCTACCCATACCCTATATATCCTTATTGGTTGCAGCTCCCCATACACTATATCCTAAATGTTTGCCGCTCCACCTCCTCTTTATGTCCTAATTGTTTGCCGCTTCCTTACCCTTTATATCCTAATTAATTGCAGCTCCCCTACTCTTTATAAACTAATTATTTAAAGATCCCCTTACCTTGTATATACTAATTGGTTGAAGCTTCCTCCTGCCCTGTATATGCTTTTTGGTTGCAGCTTCCCCCTACCCTGTATATCTTAAATGGTTCCAGCTCCCCTACTCTTTATAAACTAATTATTCACAGGTCCCCCTACCTTGTATATACTTATTGGTTGCAGCTTCCTCCTACCTTGTATAACCTTATTGGTTGCAGCTTCCCCCTACCCTGTATATCCTAATTGGTTGCAGCTTCCCCCAACCCTGTATATCCTAATTGGTTGCAGCTTCCCCCTACCCTGTATATCGTAATTGGTTGCAGCTTCCCACTACCCTGTATATCCTAATTGGTTGCAGCTCCCCCTACCCTGTATATCCTAATTGTTTGCAACTTCCCCCTACCCTGTATATCTTAATTGGTTGCAGCTCCCCCTACCCTGTATATCCTAATTGGTTGCAGCTCCCCTTTGCTTTAGATTTCTCGACTTTATCATTTCCTGTTTATATTGTTCCTAGAAACCCGGGATTTAAAAAGTCAAAATATTTATCCGATAAATCTTATAAAAGAGCCCGGGATGTTTATACTTCTTGTTTAATTGCCACATTAGATTCGTTTTATTTCCCTTTAACGGACAGAAATGATAAAACGGGGAATTTACTTCATAATTTCCTTGCTTTATTGTTCTCATAACAAATATTATGCTAATTCTAGTTATAATCTGATACCCGGCAATTATTTGGAAATGCGCAAATTTGTTTTTAAAATTGAACGCGGTATTTGAGCAGAATTTGGTTTGGATTGGTTCGGGATTCTGTGCATGCACTGGATCCTCCAGTAGTTTGTCGAAATAATCAAACTTTTAAATAAAAGAGAAATCTTATAACTCTGTCCCTTCAAGCAAAGTAACAAGAATACTTTTCTGATATTAAAAGCTATTTTTCCTTTCGCAGTACCAAGTATAGAGTGCCTGGTCAATATCTCGATTTTTTGGTCCTCTCCCCGTCATCTTCTTCATGTGCCCTTTTGCAATTAGTTCTTCAAGCTGAGCAAACAAATAAAACTTAAATATAAGATTAAATAAACCAGCATCTACGGATATACTTTAAACATTAAATAATATATTTTATTGATGAATTAGTAAGGATTAAGAAGGATTTAATTATTTACTCCCTCCAGAAGGTACAGAGCGTCCCATATCATATTAGATTATCTCCAAGCTTTATAACGCCAAAATACACATATAATATTAAAAAAACATAGCATTTTCTACAAGAAATTTTTTAATCTAGCCTTATTCAATTTCTCAAAATAATTTATTCTTCTTAAATTTTCTGATTAGTCTCAGAAATTGTAATTTAGACCCATTGACGATCTAGTATGATATGGGACACCCTGTACATACTGCATCTTTTTGATAAATAGTGCTTGAGTTGCTAGGCTCCTAAGCTCTTATTACCAAATTATGTTTATTAATAAAAAGAAAAAGTTTTTGTCCTAACTTCAGTGAATAATTGTCCAAGTTATGGATGGATGGAAAGCCCTAAATGATTTATTTCTGTTTAAGTTGTTATGTGTTTCCTTAGGAATCTGACGCATCCAGTCAAAAATACGTCGTCTTGCCACGTTGAATATTTTAGCAGCTGCATACTGACTATGCTTCTTAGCAAACAGAGCAACTTCTGTAATAAAAATATATAAATTCTTCATTAGCAATTAATTTATAAATGATAAAGAACCAGTTCAGCTAGAACCGGGAAATAGAAATGCTTCCCTCTATTTAACGTCAAATTATTCCATTTTTTATTTATGCAAAACAGGGAATATCGAACTAACATTAACTACCCCCCCCCCCTCCCTATTTCCCCTCTAACTATACCCCCCTACCTCTATTTTTCATGATTAAAATAAAGCCTATAATCCTAATAAGTAATGCAGGGAAATTTAGTAACCTTGTAAATTATTGGTTTGAATATAGTGAAGAAAATTTAAATAATCTGACTAACCTCTTAATCCATTACAAAGATTATCAAGTAAAATAGATGGCACCAGAGAATAGGTATACATTATTTACTGCACTGGTGACATTTTAATTTACAGACTGAAGTTTTCATGCTTAAATGCTGTTAAATTTTAAGTTCTGTACTATGCAATAAAAAAAAACGGGTTGGAGCGGTATCACTTTGACACCAATGACGACATTTTTGACTTCTAATTGCCACTTTTTGTAAGGCCCCGTAGCTTAGAGGGGTCCATGTTGACAGTACATTTAGGGGCATGAAAATACACTTTTTGTAAGATTTTGAACTTCGGCAAGTTTTTTTTGTACATGTACTACACATCAGAAATATGTACTGCATTTGTGGTGTTAAAAGATGTAAATATCAGTAATCAATATACAAAGAGAATAGAATATATATTAGAGTGGAATTTAGCCAATCCCTCTGTATGAATTTTTTCAGTCCCTTTCAGCCTGAAAGGGAGTTCAAAGTGTACAAATCATGTAAATGTTTACAAATTATATGCAGTAGAGTACATTAATACAGTATGTTCCCTAGACTATCCAATTCAATTTCGAATTTTTTAAAGCTGTTAAATAAACTTTATAAAATCAATTAGGTGAATAAAAAACATCATTTGCTTTATAGTTATAATGGAAAATCATCGTTTGTAAAGTGAAAGGCATAGAGTCTATGTGAAATGATCATTGGTCAATTATGAAACCAGCCTATTTCATAATTTGGTCTTCTTTTAATATTAATTTTAGATTTTCTATAAAATGATGGTCCAGGGCCCAAAAAGTGATATAGCAAAAATATGTGAAGTACACCTGCAGTATGGAAACAGTACAACAAAATGGCCGTTTTACACTTTTTTCTAGTAAATTCCACTCTAATGTATATTTTATTCTCTTTGTCAATATAAGAGATGAATCATGATATTCAGAAAAATAAACACTCCCTTGCAGTATAAATTCTGCAGTATGGAATTTTTTCTACAATTTGACATCATACTTCCAATTGTTTACAATAACAACATGTTTAATTTTTGCCCCTAATATCAATCAATCAACATTTGGGATCGTATTGGATGGAATTATATAGATCCCTGACTAGCTATAGTGTAACCTGATCCCTACCTAGTTTGAATGCAGGAGGGTAAGCCAGGTTTTGTGTCTCTTTTTTAATATCCTCATCCTCCATACCCTCTACATACAACCTCTCCTCGCGTCTGAACAAAATCACCGCTAGATGGTGTAGACCAAGGTTATAATGGAAGAAAAGTTAATTGCAGGTGCGTATACTCTGCGTACATATTGAAATCAGTTCTCTCTGGGCGGAATTTGTAAACAAGAAGAGATGCATCAGTGTTCATTTAGTATCCGAGGAGGTTAAAGGCATTAAATTTTAATAATTTTAATAATTCACATAATAGTTTCCTATGAACAGAATATTTCATTGATTTTTTTATGTGAAATATGAATCCCATGTCAGGCTTCGACATCCGTCTTGTGTTCACATTACCGCCCAGAGACAGTACACTGCTGTACAAAAGATGCGTACATCTCTTTAATAACTTTCTTTGCATGATAATCTTGGCGTAGACATAATTTCAAGCAACTTCTTAGAGTGATTGTCAAATTCACAAGAATACCTTCAAAATATTTCTATTTTTAACCATTGACTAAAACTAATGCAATTCCAAATAAAACACCCTAATTACCAGAATGACTTGTGACTTGCTAATGGCTATTTAAAGGATCTTTGAAATTGATATTGCTACACTGTTTCAAAGAAATGCTCAATAAACAGTTAAGATCTGGTTGATGGTTAAGATAAAAGTATAAAAAGAGAGAGTTGTGAGTTCAAGAATATCTATATATTCCTCCAACTGCAGGGTTTATGGAGAGAATAATATGCTGAATGTAAAGTGGAGACGGGGTTCAATATTCCTGCCAAAATAATCAGAATTTATCATAGTTTGGACAGATATCTAAGCATAATTTTACACGCTCTTGTGAAAAATTTTCTGGATAAAGCTAGAATATAGCTGGATAATTTTTCATTTTAACTTTAAATTAGAATATAGCTAGACAATTTCTCATTTTAACTTTAAATTAGAATATAGCTAGAAAATTTCTCATTTTAACTTAAAGCTAGAATATAGCTGGAAAATTTCTCATTTTAACTTAAAGCTAGAATATAGCTGGAAAATTTCTCATTTTAACTTCAAGCTAGAATATAGCTAGAAAATTTCTTATTTTAACTCAAAGCTAGAATATAACTAGACAATTATTTCTTTTAACTCAAAGCTAGAATATAGCTGGAAAATTTCTCATTTTAACTTAAAGCTAGAATATAGCTGGAAAATTTCTCATTTTAACTTAAAGCTAGAATATAGCTGGACAATTTCTCATTTTAACTTCAAGCTAGAATATAGCTAGAAAATTTCTCATTTTAACTCAAAGCTAGAATATAACTAGACAATTATTTCTTTTAACTCAAAGCTAGGATATAGCTAGACAATTATTTCTTTTAACTAAATCTTTTTGATGTATAAAACATATAAATTCTATAAATGTTCACTTCTGATGACAATTAAATTTTTTTTAATTTCAAAAGCAACGCCGGGCACTTCAGTCAGCAACTGCATGATAAAGCCGTTTATATTTTTATGATCTAACTGAAAAACTAATTTTAACTGAAAAAGATCTTGTTCTGCGTCAAGTTTTAAAGATAATGAAAAGTCCAAATGTATTAATAATTTCCTGACAATTAGTCATACATTTGAAGATTGGACTTGCATAATGCGTTTGATTAATCAATATTATCATATTTAATTATTTTAGATGTCTTGAAACATTCAGTGTAAACTTAAATTCATCATAACTTAATTTTAGAATTAAATAAGATCTTAACATTTGACATTTGGATTTGCACAAAGCGTTTGATTGATCAATATTATTATATTTATTTATGATATTATTTTCCACTAACTTTTTAGATTTATTGAAACATTTAGTGTAAACTTAAATTCATCATAACATATAATAATTTAAAATTGTTTCTTTTTAAGGATTTAGATTTAACTTCAGAAATAAATAAGATCTTCACACTTGACATTTGGATTTGCATAAAGCGTTTGATTGATCAGACTCAAAGAAGTTCGTAGTAAGATTTCGATTCTACTGGAGACCACCGGAGGGATTTTATTTTCACTGGAGGGGTTTCAAAAAATGCTTTTTACAATTTAAAACTTTACGCAGGGTAATTTACATTCCCCTGGAGGGATTCAGATAGCCTTCCTAGGGGTTTATTATTCCACTGGAGGGATTCAGATTTCTTTCCTGGGGGTTTATACTTCCACTGGAGGGATTCAGTTATCCTTCCTGGGGGTTTATTGTTCCACTGGAGGGATTCAGTTATCCTTCCAAAGGGTTTATAATTCCACTGGAGGGATTCAGATAACCTTCCAAGGAGTTTTTAAATCCACTGGAGGGATTCAGATATCCTTCCAAGTGGTTTATAATTCCACTGGAGGGATTTAGATATCCTTCCAAGGAGTTTTTAAATCCACTGGAGGGATTCAGATATCCTTCCTGGGGGTTTTATAATTCCACTGGAGGGATTCAGTTATCCTTCCAAGGGGTTTATAATTCCACTGGAGGGATTTAGATATCCTTCCAAGGAGTTTTTAAATCCACTGGAGGGATTCAGATATCCTTCCTGGGGGTTTATAATTCCACTGGAATTATAAACTCCCTAGATATATATCTGAATTCCTTAAATTGAATTATAAATCCCCCAAAAAGATATCTGAATCCCTCCAGTGGAATTATAAACCCCCAGGAAGGATATCTGAATCCCTTCAGTGGAATTATAAACCCCCAGGAAGGATATCTGAATCCCTCCAGTGGAATTATAAACCCCTAGGAAAGATAACTGAATCCCTCCAGTGGAATTATAACCCCCCAGGAAGGCTATCTGAATCCCTCCAGGGGAATGTAAATTACCCTGCGTAAAGTTTTGAATTGTAAAAAGCATTTTTTCAAACCCCTCCAGTGAAAAAGAATTCCCTCGGGTGGTCTCCAGTGGAGTCAAAATCTTACTACGAACTTCCGTGACTCGATTGATCAACTGTATTTTATTTTTTACATAATTTTTAGCGGATTTTATGTTATTGCAAATTTTAGTATAAATTTTAATTTTTATCATTAGTCATATATGCTCACATGGTTTTTTAGGATTTAGATCTCAAGAAGATGTATATACATATAAATATATATATATATGAATATATTATATGTATGTATATACATATGAATATATTTAGACAACTTACAAGCACCCAATTCAGCTGAGTATACCTTACTACGCTAATTAGTTATCTAATAATAGATAATTACCCACAGTGATCTCCATGATTATTAGATATTTAACCCATAGTAAGCTCTATGATTATTAGATATTTAAAACACAGTGAGCTCTTTAATTAATAGATATTTAACTCACAGTGAGCTCTTTGATTATTAGATATTGAACCCACAGTGAGCTCTATGATTGTTAGATATCTAACCCACAGTGAGCGTTATAACTATTATATATTTTACCCACAGTGAGCTCTATGATTAATAAATATTTAACCCACAGAAAGCTCTATGATTAATAAATATTTAACCCACAGTGAGCTCTATGATTAATAGATATTTAACCCACAGTGATCTCTATTATTATTTACCTGTTGTGCCAGAGCAGAAACCATTTACAGGTTTTCTCTATCTCTTGAGTTCCATATTCTAGTAATATCTCAGTAACCTTCTTCTTAGCTTCATTCAGGCTAACCTAGTAGAATAGTAGAATAGTTTATATCTATCTATCTATCTATCTATCTATCTATCTATCTATCTATCTATCTATCTATCTATCTATCTATCTATCTATCTATCTATCTATCTATCTATCTATCTATCTATCTATCTATCTATCTATCTATATATCTATCTATCTATCTATCTATCTATCTATCTATCTATCTATCTATCTATCTATCTACCTGTTTTCCTGATTCTCTAAATTCTCTGAGCCAATGAATAAACTTCTCATCTCCTATTGCAAAAAAGAAGTTTAGATGAATATAGAAGACTTTTAGAATAGAAGAATAGAAGTATAGATGCATATAGAAGGAAAGAAGTATAGAAGAATATTGAAGAATATAGAAGACTATTGGAATAGAAGAATAGAAGTATTGATACATATAGAAGAATAGAAGAATTGAAGAATATAGAAGAATAGAAGAATATAGGAGAATAGAAGTATTGATGAATATAGAAGAAAAGACGTATAGATGAATTTAGAAGAAGAAAAGTATAAATGCATATAGAAGGCTATTAGAATAGAACAATAGATGTATAGATGCATATAGAAGAAAAGAAGTATAGAAGAATATAGAAGAAGAAAAGTATAAATTAATATAGAGGAATAGAAGTATAGATGTATATAGAAGAATAGAAGCATAGATAAATCTAGAAGAATAGATGTATAGATGAATATTAGAGAATAGAAGTATAGATAAATATTTAAGAATAGAAGTGTTGATGAAAATAGAAGAATAGGAGAAAAGAAGAATAGGAGAATAGAAAAATAGAAGAATAGAAGAATAGGAAAAATTATAATAAAATTTATGCATAAAAAGAGGAATAGAATAAGTAAAGAATTGGAAGAGAAGAACAAAATAATAGAATTATAGAATATTAGAATAATAGAATAATAGAGGAATAAAAGTATAAACAAACTAAATAAAAATAATAGAAGGTAGAAAGCAGAAAAAAATGGGTAAGATAAGAAAAAATACAGAATTATAAATAGGTTTAGTCAAAGAAATAAAATTAAAATAAGGAAAAGAAAAAAGCGCAGGAAAGGTACTGCGGTGCATTAAACATTTCTAGAAATTATGATAATTCAAAAAGATAAAAGTTGAATAAATTTAGAACGGAAGTCACGGAAGTTTATAATAAGATTCCGATTCCACTAGAGTCTCCTGGAGTATCCTGGAGTCCAGTGGATTCCGCTGGAGTATTGAAGTCCACTGTAGTCCACTGGAGTCCACTGGAATCCACGGGAGTACACTGGAGTTCACTGGAGTCCATTGGACTTCACTTAAGTCCACTGTGGTCCACTGGAGTCCGCTGTAGTCAACTGTAGTCCACTGGAGACCACTGAAATCCACTGGAGTCCACTGGAGTCAACTGGTGTTTACTGAAGTCCAGTGGATTCCACTACAGTATTGGAGTCCACTGGATTCCACTCAGGAGCTGATACAGGATTTAAATGAGGGGGGAGAGGCTAGATTTATTTCGTAACCAAAACATCCAGATTTCGGAACATTTTTTTTTAAAGATAGATATTTTTCTTGTTTTGAACTAGGTTTTCTTTCCCTTAAGTGCTATTGAGGAGCTATATTGGTATTTCATGAGGGGGGGGGGGGCTACTAGGAGACGCTTGGGGGAGCGCTGAGGATAGGACAGCCAAGGTAAAACAATGTTGTAAAGCAAAACATAATGTGAAATTCTAGAAGAGAATTATTAAAAGATATATTTATCAAGAAGATGAATTGGAATGATTTATTAAAAAATACCTCGTTCTCTTGAAAAAGAATCATTGCTCGATGATTTATCAAGTTTTTCAGATTCTTTTACCCAACCCGACACTGTCGAATGATGAATACCAAACCTTAAATAATATAATGTTTTTATTTTTTCTTGATCTTGAGTTTACCGACAGTACCATTTGTGGTGCTATGGAAAAGCCCTCACCACCGATAGTTTAAAAAGGCATAAGGTGTAAGTAAAACAATATAAAATAGTAAATTGCACAGCAAGCTGCAAGATAGTTACTCATGAAGAGAATTGAACAACAGGATAGTATAAAATGGCGTCCAAGTTTTTGCGCATTTTCTTGTCTAAAAGTTTCCCTTCTGCGGCGTTATTGTGTTTATATTGGAACTGTTGAAGAACCATTACAACATGGTGTAGAGGCTGAGAGGTCTTTTAGATTAAATATATCAGCTCAAGAATATATAATTATAGAAACATCTTTTAGATTAAATATATCAGCTCAACAATAAATTTTAGAATAAATATAAATATCAGCTCAAGAATATATTTAAATTAAATAAATAAGCTCAAGAATATATGTTAGATTAAATGTATCAGCTCAATAATATATTTTAGATTAAATATATCAGTTCAAGAATATATTTTAGATTATATATATCAGCTCAAGAATATATTTTATATTAAATATATCAGCTAAAAATATAAAATTTTACACTAACATATTCCTACCGGAGGGGGGGGGGGGTAGGTTCCTAGGACCCCCTCAGCTTTTAAGGGAACTTGACTCAAAAGTATCGGTTTTAGACTGTTCACAATTTTTGGCTTTTCTAAGTAACACATTCCCCTTTTTTCGGGCTAAAACCTGGGTTTTAAACCTACTGCCTGAATTACCTTTTTTTTATCACTTACAACAATTTTTAGACCTAGCTTCAGTCTTGGAATTTTAGACATTTTATAACTTTTTGGAAAGCTTCAATTTTGAACCGATTTCTATTTTTTAATTTTAATTTTTCATCTTGAACCTTTTTGCTTTACATTCTATATTTCATCCTTTTCTAAAGGGTAACATTGTAAAACTTTAGGGACATTTTAAAATGGAGGGTTCTTTAAAATTACTTAAGAATTATATTAAAACTAGCCTTATAGGACGCTTCGCGCCCATCTTCTAAATTAATTGTGAATATGTTCTCTTTGTGTACATCGTAAAACAAAACAAAAATAATTCGCGGATTTTCACAAAAAATTTCGTGGATTTTCAAAATTTTAAAAAATTTAATGAAGATCGAATTTTGATGGAGACAAATATTTGAAATTTTGATCATTCATAAACCTTCCCTGTGGTCACGTGATGTCCCACAAAAAAATTGGGCCTGATCGGTTCAGCCGTTTTGACGTTTTATTGGATACAAACAAACAAACACCCAAACAGACAGACAAGCCAAATTTATATATAGATTCCCTTAAAATCATCAATATACGTGATTTATTGACAGTTTTTCAGAGTGGCTGCTTGTTAATAATTATATTAAAATATTGTAAAAAGCAAACAACAAGGAACGGTTTTATATTACAATTACTTTATATATTTTACAGGCTTAGACAGGGAATATATTGGTGGAAAAATATATTCAAAATATATAAAACTTAAAATATGAATACAATTAAAGTATATGTTACATTCATCAATATATTTAAAATATATGATACAAATGGTCAAAGAATATATTCATAATATATAATATAATAATTAAAGAACATATTCATAATATATAATACAATATTTAAAGAATATATTCAACTTCTAATTGCCAAGATATTTTTATCTGCAAAAAATCGTTATATGATGTTAACCAGAAATAAATTCAGTAAAAATGTACACTAGCGAAGGAATTGAGTTTTTGCCAGGAATTCAAATTTTCTAATCCATATATCGTTGCAACCTGATTGTGTAAACTTTTGATATTTCAATCTAAGATGATTAAAAACAGAATTCTTAGTTTGAAATATTATAGGTCTATACATCAGGAATGCAAAGATATAGAGATTAGAAAATCAGAATTTGTGGCTTAACCTTAACTTTAAATTTCCTCCTCCAGTACTCGCACTAGCAAACTAATTGATATCACAATACACAGCATGGTATTTTAGTGGGTCAGGAGGGGGGGAAGGGGGGCTGGTTTATGTCACATTCTTCTTTTTAAAATACCTATTTCAAGCCTTTTAACGATAATTACCAGTTTTTCGTCGGTTTTTAGAACTTCAATGCAGCATTACTACGACCTAAGCGGCCGAGCCTTATTTGACTTGAATAAGAGGTTTATGAATTATGGTGTACTCAGTAAATATTTCTGATCCCCCCCCTGATACCCCACTGTGCCACCTTTCACCCTTATAATAGCAATTGAAAAGATAAATGTCACCTTTTAGCAGTTTCCTTGAAAGTATGATCGACAGCAAACTTCCTGACTTCCTCCTTGAACCTGTTCAAGCTCTCCTCCCCCCTCTTCTTATACACAGCAATAGTTGTCAGGGTCGGCTTATTCAATTCAGGATCAATATATAGGGGATATCTCTCATCATGTACCTAGGGATATATATACAGGATATATATAGGATATATACAGGATATATACAGGATATATACAGGGTATGTACAGGATATATACAGAATATGTACAGGATATATACAGGATATATACAGGATATATACAGGATATATACAGGATATATACAGGATAAATACAGGATATATATACAGGATATATACAGAATATGTACAAAAAGGATAGAATGTTCGATATATTAAACACACTTTATATCCCTAGTATTCTGCTTCAAATTTAGAGCAAAATGTTTGAATTGAAAATTGGTTTTGTTAAGTTCGAAATATTGAAGAAAATGTTAGGATTTACTGTAACAGTTGTTTTACCTGTTTTAACTTTTTACAGTGAATACCGCACACCTCGCCACTGCTAAATTCTTCTAGTCTACTAGGTTCCAATGTTTTTGGTTCTATCCTAGAGGATTCCTTCTCATCAGGTTCCAATCCTGGTGTGACATGGGTTCTAGGTTCCCGTTCTGTAGGTTCTACTGAGCCAGATTCAAGCTCACATGTTTCACGTTTAATCTCCGGGTTTCCAGGAATACTCGGAGAATGTTTCTCCGAACCTTTGCCCGGTGTATTCTTCCCCGCACCCGGAGATTCAGTTCCGTCCCGGGATACAGTCTCCCTGCTCGTACTCAGGGAACTAGATATATAAACATAGAGATGTAAAGATTTATAGATATTTTTATATTCGGCTTTGTCTGTATAGTCTGTCTGTCTAAATACAGTAAAATACTAACTTGATCGGGCCCTCATCTTTTGGCAACCCACATGACCCCATGGAAACTTTGAGAATGATTAAAAATGGCGACTTTCTTCAGATAAAGAGTTAAATTTAAAATTTTTTATAGACTTATAGGGCGCTCTAGCTCATAATATTACAAGGGTATCTACTAGTACTTTTCTAGGTGTTTTTCCCAATGCAATTTTCTCAAGGGTGATTTTTTCTTAAAGTGGCGACTTCCCAAATGTGCAATTTCCCAAGCGGCAACTTCCCCAATGTTAGGTTTGGCCTTCTGAGGCGCCGCCACAGGCTGTTTAAGGGGCCGAGTGCTGAAGCTAGGATGGGGAAGGGGTCGAGCGCTGCGGCGAGAAAAGGCTACTGGGACTTGCGCTGCGGCTAGGACATACTTGGGAAGTTTCCATTTGGGAAATTGCATATTCTAGATATTGTTACCTGACTAGGGTATCTGTATCTATATCTTCTATCTCGCCTTGCCAGTTGCACAGGGAATCAAGGTTGAGGAACTCTGAGGATAAGGTTGGAAACTCCTCTAACCCTTCCAGGATACCACTACTGTACTCTAAATATTCAATATATTCTTCAATATTTCGAATGCATGTGAGAACAACATTTTAAATTTAAAAGTTACAACTTTTTGTTTAATGCAAGTTTTTAACATGGTTAAAAGTGAAGCAAGCAAACCAACATTTAAATAATATTTATTTATAACTTTGTATTATAAATACGGTACTTTGAGAACAGCTGTATCGGATCACTTTTTAAAATAGACCTATAATATCATAAAACAAAAGGATTAGTTTTAATCGTATATCTGCAGTAATATGTAATATGTATCGACAATATATCGAAGCGATAAAAACCAAGAAAGAGAAGAACTCAGGAGAGGTGGAAATCAATAAGGAATAGAACTAAGGAGAGGTGGAAATCAATATGGAGTAGAACTAGGGAGAGGTGGAAATCTATAAGGAGTAGAACTAAGGAGAGATGGAAATCAATAAGAAGTAGAACTAAGGAGAGGTGGAAATCAATAAGGAGTAGAACTAAGGAGAGATGGAAATCTAGAAGGAGCAGAACTAAGGAGAGGTGGAAATCAAGAAGGAGAAGAACTAAGGAGAGGCGGAAATTAATAAGGAGTAGAAATAAGGAGAGGTGGAAATCAAGAAGGAGAAGAACTAAAGAAAGGTGGAAATTAATAAGGAGTAGAACTATGGAGAGGTGGAAATCAAGAAGGAGAAAAACTATAAAGGCTGGGGGTCTGAATCTATGTACAGCCTGTAAAAGGTCTTAGAGAATATGTATAGGGTTGAAATGCATGTTCATAGCCAAATTTTTCAAGGCCAGCTCATAGAAAAAAAATTAGACCGATAATTTCAATAGTTTGGATGCTATGGGAGGGTTCAAAAAATGCCTATAAAGAAACTAAAATGTGAGAAAAAAAAAATATTCTTTTTCCTCTTATTTTACAACTGATGAGGAAATATTTGTGATGCTAAATCCATCTGAAAAGCACAGGAAAAAGCAATGCTTCCTAATTCTTAGCTCATTCATTCATAATTTGACTAGAAAGTTAAGAAAGTGAGTAAGGCATCAAATTTGATTTGCATTTTGCTTTTGATGCCTTCAAACATTGTTTATGATGCTTGCTTTCAAATTATACTTTTGACGTTTTACCACACGGTCAAAGCATCCAAAGTGTTGAAATTGAAAAACTAGTTCATTGTTTATTGTTTATATATATTGCATATTAAAACTAACCTATGAGTTCATGTTGCTGTTGCGTATCTATTAAACCTGTTTTAATAAATATTGGTGAGATAGGTAGATTAGAATCAGTATGGTGGGGAGCCAGCATTATTTCATTTCCTAACAATTCACATATTTTTTTTTCTCCAATAGTTTCTAAGATAAGGTTGGAGTAGGGAAGGGGTGCAGAGAATACATGTACATCCACCCGCCCCCCCCCCTCGTTGAAATTGGATAAAAAAGATGCATTACAACAACTATTCTCAAAACTACATATCCGCTTACTTACAACAGAAGATTGGTGATTTACATTTTACAGTCCTTATTCATGTATAGGTTAGATAAGCATATAATTTTGAAATTAAACACTTTTTTCAAGAAAGTTATTGGCAAGACATGGTAGATGAGGTGAGAATGCTGTATTTAGATAAATATTTGAAAAATCATTTGAGACGTTTGTGCGGTGTATCCAGAGAGAGTAAAAATCCTCCTGAATTGTCAAACCTGCCCGGGGGGCATGCAGGGCCACAACCGACAGGAAGAGAAAAGAAAAATATGTATAAAAATATGTTTTCCCTGACAAGGTTAATGGTAGAATATCTCTGACGGGAATTATGCGGTTAGGAAATTGTTCCTCTCCCGGAGTAGGGAATTGTTCCTCTTGCGGAGTAGGGAATTGTTCCTCTCGCGGAGTAGGGAATTGTTCGTCTCGCGGAGTAGGGAATTGTTCCTTTTGTGGAGTAGGGAAATGTTCCTCTCGCGGAGAAGGGAAATGTTCCTCTTGAGGAGCAGGGGCAGGATCTCCAGGTTTCTCCAGAGGGATAAAACGAGATAAATCTAAACAAATTCTTTTATTATGTTTTTAATATTTGTCTTTGAATTGACAAAGAAATTTTTATAATTTATATTTAACAATTTACTTATTTATTATTTAAATCATTTGTCTCTTTTTTGAAAAGGTACTAAACATAACAAGTCTTTTCCTTCTTGATATGATAGTATTTAATATGATTGACTCTGAAGTGGCGGTAGGGTAGGGGGTGATTTTACTTATAGAGCATTTTTATGTTTGTAAACACCCTAATCCTATCCCTTCCCATCCCAACACACACTATAATCTCATCCCTTCCCATTCCCCCACACACCTTAATTCTATCCCTTCCGATCCCTTCCCATCCAACCAACACACATCTAATCCTATATCTGTAATAAATACAGTAATCCCCATATTTGTTAAGCTAAACATACCTAGATATACATGAGCTACGGAGCATGATTAAACATGCATTGTGATAAGATTAACTACGTTTATATATATCCATGATAATCTTCTAAATATGTATATTCAACTTAAACTACATGTGTGGAGAAAGCTTAACTACTTTATATCTATCTTCGCTAATCTGATAATTACGTACTAGAGATGTCAACGTTTTGATTTTTCTAGATTTTAGCTTTCGTTACGATAGTGTTCATCAAAAGTATAAACGTTTGAAACGTTACCTTTCACATTATGAAATTTTATGGCATAGAGTAATGTTACGTAATGAATTTTCTGCACTTGAATAGCTTATACAACGTTAAGCTTTAGTAAATGTTAGCAAAAAAAAGTAAGCTCCGTAACACTTTTGCATTTCCTGTTTTCAAAAACTTGCCGCCCAAGGTTGCGTTAATGCTTTTGTAATATAACAACACTTTTTTAACGTTCCGCTTTCACACAAGATAAATATTTTTAGAGACCTTACGTTACACTTTCACTTGATTTGAAAACTAAAAGATGACAAACGTTTTGCTTTCATAAAACTTCATTTGGGCATAACTCTGCATGTTGCAATGCATTTCAGTGCAAAGAATAGTTTTTGCAGTTAACGTTACGGTTTATCTTATATTTTCCAATATAAACTCTTTTAATTACGTTTAGAAAATTTACTAAAATGCAACTTTTCTTACGTTACGATTTATCAAAACGTTATTGTGAAAACTTTTTTGTTACACTTTTTTACAACTGGCAATCAAAACTGTTTATTCGTTTCGTTTCTAAGAAAAATTTTAAAAAATGTTCTATAATACGTACATTATACCTAAACAATGCTGTATATATCTCTAAAAAGTGTTCTGGAGCATCTAGGTAAATCAGAGTAATATTTTTGTTTGTTTACTCCTAGCTTGAATTTAGGTCAAATCTTTACACAGAAATTATTACAGTAAGCTAACTGTAAACACTGGTTGAATGGTTCGGATAAACTTCTTTTATTCATTTTAATATATATGGACTGCTATCCCTGTGTAATAAAACCCGGCTACCAAGTTCAGTAGTTTTGAATATTCTAAGGGCGAACTGCATGTATCCTATTTTATAAATTTATATGTAAAGTTAGGGGATAGTCGAGTTTGAAGGAATATTCTAGAACTTTTATACACAAACTTGTTTCATGTGCTATTCATGCTAATCTACTTATAATTACGCGAATCTAGTTGTAATCACGCTGATCTAGTTGTAATCACGCGAATCTAGTTGTAATCACGCTGATCTAGTTGTAATCACGCTGATCTAGTTGTAATCACGCTGATCTAGTTTAATAACGCTGATCTAGTTGTAATCACGCTGATCTACTTATAATTACGCTAGTCTAGTCGTAATTACGCTGAACTAGTTGTAATCACGATAGTCTAGTTGTAATCACGATAGTCTACTTACAATTTCCCTAATCTAGTTGTAATAATGCTAATATAGTTGTAATCACGTTTTATTCACACTGATCTAAATGTATTCAAACTGATCTAGATGTATTCACACTGATCTAGATGAATTCACACTGATCTAGTTGTATTTACACTGATCTAGTTGTATTTACACTGATCTATATGTATTCACACTAATCTAAATGTATTCACACTGATTTATATGTATTCACAACGATCTAGATGTATTCACACTAATCTAGATGAATTCACACTGATCTAGATGTATTCACACTGATCTAAATGTATTCACATTGATCTAGATGTATATTCACACTGATCTAGTTGTATTCACACTGATCTAGATGTATTAACACTGATCTAGATGTGTTCACATTGATTTAGATTTATTTATACTTTAGTTTGACTTTGCCTTTATAGACACTGAATAACTAATTTGCATCCCCAAATATGTAATTTAAATTGTACAGTGTACAATTTACAATGTACTGTGCAATTTAAATTGTACAGTGTACAGTTTACAATTTACAATGCACTATGCAATTGTAAAGTGTACAGATTACAGATTGATCAGTAAAGAGCTAGCTGTTGTGCGTGCATGAACTATGTAAGTTGTATAAGATGTTTAAATATACAATAATATATAAATATTTGAAAAATTAAAATGAATTCCTACCTGCCGGAAAAGAAAGTATTGGTTCTTTCCGAATAATTTTGCGCTGTGATTCATTCTCAGAATTTTCTAAAATATAAATAAATGAAAATATACCATCTGACATTTAATCCAGTTAGCTACGAGATAAATCTGGATTTTCGTGGATTTTAACATTTAAACAAAAATCGAATTTGGTGGAAATTCTCTTGAAAATTCAATAAAAAGATCGAAAGATTTTTAATACTTTTGAAGGGACACATCTAATCATAATTTCGAGTGACCTCTAGACAAAGAGGACAATGTCTGATTCACACCAGTACCCTTTAAACCTTTGCCTAATAACCCCAAGGAGAATTGAATAGAAGGAGGGGGCGATAGTGTTTCCGTACACTTTATTGTGACGTTTTTGGACTGCTGGAGAACTAGTTTTTGCGTAACAACAATAACAAAGGCAGCCGATCTAATGTAAACAAACATGAGTTAGTAAACTGTGAAATTAGTATTATCTTGTTAAAAAAGATTAAAAAAAGTTAAGGATTTTAGTTTTATACGAAAAGGACCTTATTACAGAGACATTTTCAATCAAATTCAAGGTTATCCTGCCCCCCCCCCCAAGATGTCTGTTTATCACTTTTGTTATTGTTTACAATCTTTATTATTGTTGTTACGCAAAAACTAGTTCTCCAGCAGTCCAAAAACGTTACAGTAAAGTGTACGGAAACCCCATCGCCCCCTCCTTCTATTCAATTCTCCTTGAAAAACCCTAAAAACTCCTGTATGAAAATCCAGACAGTCCAGAAAATTTTTTTAAAATGAAAAGATAAATAATATTATTCTTTAAATATAAAAAAGCTTCTTAACAAAGTTTTCATCAATTACAAGCGTCAAGTCCGTCTAGTCCAGGGGCGGATACCCCTGAATTTGGAATTTTTTGTTCCTATTTTCAGAATAGCTTCTCAATAGCATGCTTAAGGGAAAGAAACCCTAGTGCAAAACATGAAAAATATCTTAATAAACTATAACGTGTGAAAAGTTAAAAATCTAGTTTTTTAGTCTTTAGTCATTAATTTTGACTCTTTTGAGTCTTTTAAGTCAAAAAAATTTTCACATGCGGCGCGATTTTTTGTTCCCAATTATGAATTTTTTTGTTCCTAAAAAATCCGCCCTTGGTCTAGTCAGTAAAGTTTTAAAGGGTACTTGGTGGTGTGAATCGGACTCGCTGCTCTAAAAAAAGGTCATTTGACATTATTATTATTATTTAATTTGATAATAAATAAAAGGGCCGGACAATAAATATTTTAATAGAGAAAAGAAGGTTTATATCATAGAATAATTAAAATAACAGATAGTACACTAGATGTAATCAGGGGTCAATATAATTCCCTTTTCAATCCCATTTGGGATTGACAAATTTGAAAGAAATGGGGGCAAATTCATTATTATTTATTTTTTTGTTATTTAGCAAACTTTCAGCTAAAAAATATTTGAGTAAGAGTTTAATAAACTAGCAAACCTTCAGCTAAGAAATATTTAAATAAGAGTTTAGAAAATAGCAAACTTTCAGCTAAAAAATATTTGAGTAAGAGTTTAATAAACTAGCAAACCTTCAGCTAAGAAATATTTAANGTTATTATTATAATCAATAATGACTATTTTGTTTTTACGATACAAGTTTTATTCACTCTGCAATTAACTATTATTATTATTATTATTATTGTTATTATTATAATCAATAATGACTATTTTGTTTTTACGATACAAGTTTTATTCACTCTGCAATTAACTATCATGAAAAAACACTTTATTGCTTTTTCTTTAATTTAATTATTATTATTAGGAAACGATACCGATTCATATTGATGGTAAAACTTTTGAGCTCGTGATACCCAGTAGACATGCTTTTAGATTAAGGTTTAATTCTGGAAAATGTTTCCATTTCTGGCAATATTATGAAATCATTTGTTAATGATTTCTCCGTTAACTCCAGAAACTATGACAGAAAGCGCGTAGAGACCGGAACTAGAGAGCGCGTAGAGATCGGAACTAAAGAGCCCGTAGAGACTGGAACTAGAGAGCGCGTGCATAATAACACATGGCTGGTTTAACCCACTTTAACCCTAAGAAGACATAGGGATAAAATCCGAGCTGCTGATGACGCAAATTATTACTATGATTTTACCCTTGGTTTAATTTAGTTTACCATGGTTAGAATCCGATTTTACCATGGTTAGAATCCTATTTTACCATGGTTAGAATCCGATTTTACCATGGTTAGAATCCGATTTTACCATGGTTATAATCTGATTTTACAATGGCTAGAATCAGATTTTACAATTGTTAGAATCTGATTTTACAATGGTTAGAATCCGATTTTACCATGGTTATAATCTGATTTTACAATGGTTAGAATCTGATTTTACAATGGTTAAAATGTTTCAAGTTTCGGTCTCAGATCTTAAGTCTCACCATTTCTGTTTTGATTTGGGCTTTCTGAGCAGCAGAACACGGCATAATCTACAATATGAATAGATTAATGAAAAATTCGAACAAAAAATAAGTGAAAGTTTGAAAACCAAAGAGCATAGATTAGTATAGAATGGAATTAAGTAGAAAAAAGTGTAAAACCGCTATTTTGTTTTACTGTTTTCGTAATGCAGGTGTACTTCATACCTTTGTGCTATATACTCTTTTGGGCCCTTTTTATAAAAAAATCTCCGTTCTCTGTTGAAAAAAAACCAATATACCATTTACAGACAGAGTAGTAAACCAGGTACAGACAGTAGTAAACCAGGAACAGACAGTAGTAAACCAGGTACGGACAGTAGTAATGCTGGTAGAGACAGAAATAAACCAGTAAACCAGATACAGAAGGTAGTAAACCAGTAAAGACAGTAGTAAACCGGTACGGACAATATTAAACCACGTACAGACAGTAATAAAACGGTACGGACAGTTGTAAACCAGGTACAGCCAGTAGTAAACCAGGAACAGCCCGTAGTAAACCAGGTTCAGAAGGTAGTAAACAAGGAACAGACAGTAGTAAACCAGGTACAAAAGGTAGTAAACCAGTACAGACAGTAATAAACCAGGTACAGACAGTAGTAAACCAGGTACAGACAGTAGGAAACCAGGTACAGACAGTAGTATACCAGGTAAAGACAGTAGTAAACCAGGTAAAGACAGTAGTAATTCAGGTACAGACAGTAATAAACCAGGTACAGACAATAGTATACCAGGTACAGACAGTAGTAAAGTAGGTACAGACAGTAGTAAACCAGGTACAGACAGTAGTAAACCAGGTACAGACAGTAGTAAACCAGGTACAGACGTCAGACAGGTAAAAAACTGCTTATTTCTAGGTGCACCTGACTTCATTAGCTAAAAATGTTATTCTTATTAAGTGGTGTTTAAAATACAATTTTTACAATAATAAGTTCTATCCATTCCATTCTATTAGTTGTTTTTCTCTTTTTAATAAATATTTTTTTGTAATTTATCTTGAATCCTTGAACCCTCCCCTACCAGTTTTGATGTATTCCCCTAACCTCTAAGATGAAAGGATGAACTTACAATTTTTATCTCGTTTTCTCTCCCCCAGGAAATGATTACTGTATCATTTCAGCCCCTTGGAGAAATATTCCATTTCTTTCTCTTTCCCCAGAATAAAGTAGGCAACCTTACAACCCCCAGCATATAGCAGGCAACATTACTCAACCCCCAGCATATAGCAGGCAACATTATTCAACCCCCAGCAAATAGCAGGCAACCATACAACCCCCAGCATACAGCAGGCAACCTTACAACCCCCAGCATATAGCAGGCAACCTTACAACCCCCAGCATATAGCAGGCAACATTACTCAACCCCCAGCAAATAGCAGGCAACCTTACAACCCCCAGCATACAGCAGGCAACCTTACAACCCCCAGCATATAGCAGGCAACCTTACAACCCCCAGCATATAGCAGGCAACCTTACAACCCCCNTAGAGGTTTAGCACGTAAAACTGAAAATTAACATTTTTTCTTAAAGTTTCTGTTTCTCTGAGACCTTTACATTAACTCTTTCTCCGCCCATCTTCCTTAAAAACCCCTCCCCCTCCTCTTCTAAACTACACCCCTCCTCCCTCCTCTAAACTACACCTCTCCTTCCTCCTCAATACTACACCTCTCCTTCCTCCTCTAAACTATACCACTCCCTCCTTCTCTCAACTATACCACTCCCTCCTCCTCTAAACTACACCCCTACCTCCTGTAAACTACACCCCTGCCACCTCTAAACTACGAACACCCTCCTCTAAACTACACCCCTCCCTCCTGTAAACTATACCACTCCCTCCTCCTCTAAACTACACCCCTCCCTCCTCTAAACTACACCCCTCCCTCTTATAAACTTCACCCCACCCTCCTCTAAACTTCACCCCACCCTCCTCTAAACTTCACCCAACCCTCTTCTAAACTAGTGCTCATGTAAATATTTAGAGTGCTCTACTGGAATTTTGCTCTTGTAAAATGTTTAGAGTTCTTTAGGGACCCTCCTCCCCTCTCTAAACTAGTGCTCTTATGGAATGTTTAGAGTGCTCTAATGAAATGCTTTAGAGTGCTCTTGTGAAATGTTTAGAATGCTCTAGAACAATGTTTAAAGGGCTCTAGAACAATGTTTAGAGTGCTCTAGAACAATGTTTAGAGGGCTCTAAAACAATGTTTAGAGGGCTCTTGAACAATGTTTTGAGTGCTCTAGAACAATGTTTAGATTGCTCTAGAGCAATGTTTAGAAGGCTCTAGAGCAATGTTTAGATTGCTCTAGTGGAATGCTGAACAAAATATTAAATAATCTAGAAAACAAAATAACTGAAGACATAAAGCACTTTATACACAATTTAATTTAATATATTTGATTTAGGATAAAATTTATTTTCTTGCTTATTTTCAAATTCTAATTCAAAGAATTCTTTTCAACACAATTTTCATAGTTTAGAATCTTATTCTTAATTTCAACTTTCAAGTTTTCATAGCCAACTTGTACCCCCCCCCCCCCCTACACCCATCTAATTCCTTCAAGAGACTGACTTGGAATCCACGTTTTACAGACTGCTGGTATTGTACGTCAATTCCAATAGAAAACGTAAACATTAGCTTACAGTTACAAGTAATGGTAATACGTTTATTATCAAAGAATGAATTTTCGATTTCCTTAAAAAACCCCAGTCATTTTTACCAAATGTCCTGCTTTTCTTGTACTATTCTGGTTTGATAATCTCTAGGAGAGAGGGTTGACCCCCCCCCTAGGGACCCTAGGTTAATGTGTGAATTAGGGGAAGTATGGGGGGGGGGGGAACAAGTTACAAGTTGTAATATAACCTCAGTACAGTTTTCCTTGATGGTTTTGATAATGCAAGTATAAAATAGATCAGGATATTCTAGTAAAGCATGCAATTTTATTGGGGTGCAGGGGGGGGGTAGAGGTTCAAGTATATGGGAGGGGGGTATACAGATAAAGAAGGGGGAAGAGAGAATGTTCGTTTGTTTGTATCTAATAAACGTCAAAACGGCTGAACCGATCATATCCAAATTTTGTTTGGGACCTCACTTGACCCTAAGGAAGGTTTATGAATAATCAAAATTTCACAAATTAACCTCCAAAAAATTCGATTTTCAAAAAAATTTGAAAATCCACGAAAATTTTTATAACATCTGCGAACTTTTTGATTGTTTTTGTTTTACATTGAAAACGAAGAGAAAATGTCCAATTAAAATGGAAGATGATCGCGAAGCGCCCTGAAAGCCTAGTATAATATAAAAGGAAAAAAGAAGAACAAATAAAAGAAAGCAGATTCTAGCTTTTACTTGAAAATGATTTCATGACAGAGTTTTGATAATTTCCTTTTAGATCAAGATCAAGAGCTCATAGGGGTTATTTAGCCAATCATTTCCAGTACCAGCTATCACTAGCCTACATGTAGGATGTAAATACATATATGTATATATATATATATATTTAGCCAACCATTTCCAGTACCAGCTATCACTAGCCTACATGTAGGATGTTAATACATATGTATATATATATATTTAGCCAACCATTTCCAGTATATGTAGACTGTACACAATATTTTATTATGCGTACAGTATCAAAATATCCGTTTTAAAACAAAGAATGTTCCATTTTAGATATTTGTTAAGAATCAAAAAATTTACAAATAAATGTTTTTTTTGGTCTTAAATCAAACAATATTAGAAATATCAAACAAACTGTGTTCATTGGATCGAGATTGGATCTTTAATATTTTTTAAATTGAAAAATGGACCTCCCCAATATTTAAGATATAGTTGTTAACTTTAGTTTTCAAACATTCTTCATTTAATCTTTAGAAATAGATTAATATAGTACAGAACCTTAAACTCTAATATTCCTGCTTTTCTGAAGGCCCATTTAGCTCTAGCCTGCAGCAAACTCTTGGATATTCTCTTCCCAGACTTCTTACAAGCACATCTAAATATTAGAATCTTTTATTTTAAATAAGTTGAAAAATAATTATTATCTTTTTATAATATGTCTGCTTATTGTTTTTTTGTATTTATCATATAATCCCGACCCAAGTTTCTCTTCTGAGGTTTGCCTCTAATTTTATAAGTGTAAGTTTTTGTCGATTTTATCTAAAGAAAATATAGAAATGAAAAAGCCATTAAATCAGATTTATTCAAAAAAAAATACTGATAATTACAAATGTTTTACTGCGCTAATTCTTTTGTGTTTTTTTTCTGGTTGTTTCTTTTTGCGTTTTTTAATTTTTCTGTGTTTGGTTTATTTTTGTTATTTTCTGGTTTGTTTCTGGTTTGTTTCTGGTTTGTTTCTGGTTTTGTTTCTGGTTTGTTTTGGGTTTGTTTCTGGTTTTGTTTCTGGTTTGTTTCTGGGTTGTTTCTGGTTTTGTTTCTGGTTTGTTTCTAGTTTGTTTCTGGTTTGTTTCTGGTTTGTTTCGGGTTTGTTTCTGGTTTTGTTACTGGTTTGTTTCTGGGTTTGTTTCTGGTTTTGTTTCTGGTTTGTTTCTGGTTTGTTTCTGGGTTTGTTTCTGGTTGTTTCTGGTTTGTTTCTGGTTTGTTTCTGGTTTGTTTCTGGTTTGTTTCTGGTTTGTTTCTGGTTTGTTTCTGGTTTGTTTCAGGTTTGTTTCTGGTTTGTTTCTGGTTTGTTTCTGGTTTGTTTCTGGTTTGTTTCTGGTTTGCTTCTGGTTTGCTTCTGGTTTGTTTCTGGTTTGATTCTGGGTTGTTTCTGGTTTGCTTAGACCGGAACTGCGTCAGACCTCTCAGCAACCACCAGATAAGATTTTAGAAGATTATGTGATTACTGTATGTTTTCAAGTTATTCTAGTTTATCTGATATTATTGCATTTATTTCATTTAACATCTACCCCCTCCTGCCCCCACGTAATTATAAAGACACTTTTTGTTTAATAAGCTACTCTTTTTCTATTTCTTCATAGTTCGTCCCAGTCAAGGTACTAATGGAATGAAAGTTATTTCAGAGGTGTACGCATTTTTTGTACTGCAGTGTACTATATTTGGGCGGAAAAGTAAACCATGTCACAGCCTGACATGGAATCCATTTTCACAAAAATAATCTATGAAATATTCTGGTCATAGGAAACTATTATGTGAATTTTCAAAATGATCAAATTTAAATGCTTTTAACCTCCTGGGATACTAAACGAACACTGATGCATCTATTTTTGTTTATAAAGTCCGCCCAGAGAGAACTGGTTTCAATATGTACGCAGAGCATACGCGACCGCAATTAACTTTCTTTGCATAAGTACCTTGGTCCCAGTCTTCAAGGAAGTATACTGCACTGTAGTCTGTTCTGTGTACATTGTACTGCACTGTAGTGCATACTGTGTTTACTATGTTCACTGTACTGTACTGTAGTGTACTGTGTATACTGCACCGTAGTATACTGGAGTGTACTGTTTATTGACTCTACTATACTGTACACTATAACGTACTGTGTATACTGTACGGTACTGTACCTCCAAATCCAAAGATGTTGTTCAAGTTTTTCTGAAACTATTCTTGTCTGTCGCCAGGTAGAGAGCTAAAAATAAGACAGAGTTATTTCAAAGTTGAGTTAAAGTATGAATTACAGGGCTACCAACAACAAAATGAGACTTCATAGCTCAGAGACGACCGTACTACCATTATCTACCATTATCTACCAATATCTACTTTTATCTACCATTATCTACAAATATTTACAATTTTCTACCTTTATCTACATTTATCTACCTTTTTCTACCAATATATACCATTATCTACTATTATCCACCAATATCTACCGTTATCTACCAAATCTACCGTTATCTACTAATATCTACCATTTCTACCTTTATCTAATATTATATAACATTATCTACCTTTATCTACCATTATCTAACCATATCTACCATTATCTGCCAAAATTTAACATTATCTACCTTTATCTACCAATATCTACCAATTTCTATCATTATCTACCAATATGTACCAATTTCTAGCATTATCTACCAACATCTACATATGTTTACCTTTATCTAGCTTTATCTACCTCTATCTACCATAATCTACCTTTCCAATTAAAACGTTATACTATTCAATACAACAGAAAGATGCAATACTCGATATGGCAAGAACAAACAGTGTAGATAATTAATTCTTTATATTTGAAACTAGCTGAAGTACCCGGCGTTGCCCGTGAAATTAAAAAAATATAATTTTGAAGAAAAAAAATCAAATTGAATTTTACAAAAATAAATACATATATGAGCAAAGAGCTTTATTATATAGATTAACACCCCTAAGCCCTGACTATTCTCCTTTATCCTACAATATCATAGTTTTACCTTGGGACTTGATTTTGCTAGTGAGGACAGTGTCGGAATATCATCTGGTAGTTTAGAACCTTCAATCCTAGTTTCTATTCTATCTTCATGATTGTCTTCACAGATTTCTTGATTGTCATCAGGGTTACATTGGTTCTTTGAAGGTTCTGTACAGAGACACAGGGCGGAGGAACAAACTTTACAAGCTGGTTCCTCCTTGATTTCAGGAGTTAAAACCTCAGGGATCTTTTCATTCATACAGTTTCCCAATGAGGAGAGAAGAAACTCATTGGATTTGGAAAACTTAAAATCATGTTCTTTAGCCTCGACTATTGTAAATGTGTCGAACTTTCCATCAACGAATGATTGTACTAAAGCATTTGTATAATCTGAATATGAGCATTTTGAGAATTTTATACCGTCAATAGGGTCTGATTGTCCAGCTTCAGTTAAAGGCGAAATGTAGATCTCATCATTAAATTCCAAAGTGGAAGAGGTAGACGAGAGTTGGTCCTGAGAAATGGGAGAGTTGTGTTGAAAGGATGTTGAACTGAACTCCTGAGGTAAAGGTGAGGTAGGTAGGAGGTCTGGTATAGGAGATGAGGAGATAGTGGATATTGGAGAGGAGGAGAGATGCCTACTAAACCCTACAGTAGAAGGAGAACTCCTTGAAGAGTGGGTGGATGGAGATTTAGAGATCTGTGAGGTGGGGGACAGGGCAACATGGTATTGAGGAAGGAAAGGAGAATGTGGGAAATCAAGTCCTGAACTGATGGAGAGTGGTGGTGAGAGTATATCAGGGTGTGTCAGGGAGTTAAATTCAGGAGAAGCATCGCTTATATTCAGCTCCTCATAATCAGATCCTGGCGGGGTCGGGGCTAAATAGTCAGGTTTCTTTAAACCCTCAACCATACTTAGTTGGAATCCTTGATCTTGGGAATCTTTTCCCATTAACTTAACATCTTCTTCAATTCCCTCCACATTGAAGGGAGGTGTTTCCCCTGAATTCTGATGTGAGTCCTGAAGAGATAAAGTTTTCTGATTCTGGTAAGATAATTCAGTTTCACCAAACTTTTTCATCAGAGTGGCAAACTTAGTGACCGGGTTCTGGCTTGGGACTAGCAATAAGGATTGGATAGGTTTAGGAATACCTGATGTAACACATGGTTTACTAATACCATCTTCATGTCGTGGTTTACTAATACCATCTTCATGACGTGGTTTACTAATACCATCTTCATGACGTGGTTTACTTATACTTTTACTACTTCTATAGGCGGGACTAGATTTACTAACACCATGCCCGGGCCTTGGTTTTAATATACATTCACTATGTATTGGGTTTTGTTCCCTGGGTTGGCCCAGGTTTCTACGGGTTTCTGATACACAACTACTTGACTGGTTCACTTGGTCATAGAGGTTGGATTTAGCAGCTCGTTCCTTGAGTTTAGGGTCTAAGGGTCTATTCTCAAGTTTAGGGTCTAGGGGTCTATATTTTAATCTATTGTTGGAGTCTAAAGGTTCTAAAGAACTACGCCTAATCTTCATGTTTGATCACATCTGACCTGAAAAAAAATATTTTATGAGACAGATTGTTTCTGGCGAGAGAGAAGAACCAATATGAAGCAAGAAACAAGGAGATAGAGCAGTAAAATAATAAAAATAAAACATTTTAAAATTTAGAAAAGAAAGGAAAAGAGAAAAATAATGGTTCTAATGTTTTATAGATTATCTGAACATGAAACACATTTTAACTTTTTAACAAAGTTTAAGTTTTATCCTAAACTTGGTAAACTTTGGGAAATATATTTTAAAAGATTAAAAAACAAATTCTCTTTATTTTACACCTTCCTCTATTTTATATTTGCTTCTAGCTTTATTCTTCCTTTTGGACAATTTGGACTTTTTTGACAATTTGGACTTTTTGGACAATTTGGACTTTTTTGATAAAAATATTCAGATTCTTTAAGCACGTGACTGAAAAGTTTCTCTAATAAAGAGTAAAATAAAAATGTAAAATTTTAATTTATTCAGCCATCACGTTTTTGTAAATAATAAATCACAAGTGTAAGCAAAAGTTTTTTTTTTCGAATCTAGAAATGTTAAAATCATAAAAATCGGTTAAAATAAAATTAATGTAGTAATAGGAAAAAATAATTGGCAAAAAATCGACTTTTTAGCAGAAATTTGCCAGAGTCCTCAAAAATAATAGTATTTTGGCCCCAGATCAACCAATTAGAGGCGCAACTTTAGATACCCATAGCGACATGTGTCGAAAAAATTGAAAAATCGACCTCCATTTGTGATCGTTGATTTTTAAAAGTGCTTACGCTGACCCATTTAAAAAAAATCAAAAATAATTTTCATAATGTTTTTTTGTAAGCTTAATTAAACAATTTCTTTAATTTTTATTTTTGAAATCCTTAGTCTTTAATTTCGTATTTTACTATAGGATTCTTTTCTACCTCTCTTCCATATACCCACACCCCTATTATACCTCTCTCTCATATACCCACACCCCCATTATACCTCTCTTTCATATACCCACACCCCACTCTCCATCGGACCATCACACAGAGGAGTTAAAAGGTCACAAAGTTGTGCCAATATTATCACAAAGTTGTGCCAATATTATAACAAAGTTGTGCCAATATTATCACAAAGTTGTGCCAATATTATCACAAAGTTGTGCCAATATTATCACAAAGTTGTGCCAATATTATCGTAAAAATTTGACCTCCTCCTTCTGTCTAAGCAACAGTCTATAGCCTTTCCTCTCCTTTTTACTCCCCCCTTTTACCTTTCATCCCCTTTACTCCCCTCCCTTTTACCTCTCATCCTATTTACACCCCTCTCTTTTACCTCTCATTCTCTTTACCCCCTCCCTTTTACCTTTCCACACCCCTTTACTCCCCTCCCTTTTACCTTTCCACACCCCTTTACCCCCTCCCTTTTACCTCTCATCCTATTTACCCCTCTCCCTTTTACCTCTCATCCACATTACCCCCTTCCCTTTTACCTCTCCTCCCCTTTACCCCTCTCCCTTTTACCTCTCATCCTATTTACCCCCCTCCCTTTTACCTCTCATACTATTTACCCCCCCTCCCTCCCTTTTACCTCTTCTTCCCTCCCTGGTTACCCAGTATTTCGTGTAAGAAGGCAGGAGAGCCTACTGCAGTAGTAATTATCATGCCATTTCTATCTAACCATCTAACTATACTGTTATTTCACTCTATTTATTTATCTATCCTCATTTCTATCTAACTATCTAACCATATTGTTATTTCACACTATCTATTTATCTATCCTCATTTCTATCTAACTATCTAACTATGTTGCTATTTCTCTCTATCTATTTATCTATCCTCATTTCTATCTAACTATATTTCTATTTCTCTCTATCTATTTCTCTATCCTAATTTCTATCTAACTATCTAACTATATTGTTATTTCTCTCTATCTATTTATCTATTTATCTTTCCTCATTTCTATCTAACTATCTAACTATATTGCTATTTATCTTTATCTATTTATCCATCATGTCATTTCTATCTAACTATCTAACTATCTAATTATATAATCAGCCAATGCCTCAAATATAACCTCCCTACTATGTCAACTATACATGCTTATTTTTCAGGAAAATTAAAAATTTATAAATTCAGGACATAATCATGAAACTCATTTTAAATTTTGCTACGGCAAACCGTCCATTAGGTTTTGAATAATTTATATTATGATTAGATCAACAAACTTCTGTTAAATTTATATTGCACAAGTTAAACTCTTTCTGCAAATAGCTTGTTTTGGTAAGGTATAAAATATACAATTTCAGTATTTTATATGATAATTGATTGTGTGTTATATTTCATTTTACAAATTGATTGTTAATGTTACACAATCGACTGGTAATGTTCCACAATTGACTTGTATTGTTCCACAATTGACTTGTAGTGTTCCACAATTGACTTGTATTGTTCCACAATTGACTTGTAGTGTTCCACAATTGACTGGTAATGTTACACAATTGACTGTTAATGTTACACAATTGACTGGTAATGTTACACAATTGACTGGTAATGTTACACAATTGACTGTTATGTTACACATTTGACTGGTAATGTTAAATAATTGACTGGTAATGTTACACAATTGACTTGTAGTGTTACACAATTGACTAGTAATATTAAACAATTGACTGGTAATGTTCCACAATTGACTGGTAATGTTACACAATTGACTTGCAGTGTTCCACAATTGACTGGTAATGTTACACAATTGACTGGTAATGTTACACAATTGACTGGTAATGTTACACAATTGACTGTTAATGTTACACAATTGACTGGTTATGTTACACAATTGACTTGTAATGTTACACAATTGACTGGTATTGTTCCACAATTGACTGGTAATGTTACACAATTGACTGTTAATGTTACACAATTGACTGTTAATGTTACACAATTGACCGGTAATGCTACACAATTGACTGGTTTTGTTCCACAATTGACTGGTATTGTTACACAATTGACTGGTAATGTTATACAATTGACTGGTAATGTTACACAATGGACTGTTATGTTACACATTTGACTGGTAATGTTAAATAATTGACTGGTAATGTTACACAATTGACTGGTATTGTTACACAATTGACTAGTAATATGTTACACAATGGACTGTTATGTTACACATTTGACTGGTAATGTTAAATAATTGACTGGTAATGTTACACAATTGACTGGTATTGTTACACAATTGACTAGTAATATTAAACAATTGACTGGTAATGTTCCACAATTGACTGGTACTGTTACACAATTGACTGTTAATGTTACACAATTGACTGATTATGTTACACAATTGACTGGAAATGTTACACAATTGACTGGTAATGTTACACAATTGACTGTTAATGTTACACAATTGACTGTTAATGTTACACAATTGACTGGTAATGTTACACAATTGACTGGTATTGTTCCACAATTGACTGGTAATGTTACACAATTGACTGGTAATGTTACACAATTGACTGGTAATGTTACACAATTGACTGGTAATGTTACACAATTGACTGGTAATGTTAGACAATTGACTGGTAATGTTACACAATTGACTGGTGGTAATGTTTCACAATTGACTGTTAATGTTACACAATTGACTGGTAATGTTACACAATTGATATATAAAAGTTACACAATTGAAAATCAGCACATCACCCTCATCTAAGCTTTCGGGGCGTTCTTTAGTAATTTGCAGTACACTAACCGAAGACAAAATAGCGTTTAGTGAAGAGTAACACTGTTAGTTGCGGAACTTTTTTCACAAAACTTGAAAAGTCCAAAAACTAGACTGGGCTAGTTTAAAACTGGTTTATTAGAATAAATGAACAATTTTTCGACCAATATCGGGATTTAAACCAACTGTAGATCTAAGGCTAGCTTTTACAATAATTGCATTCCTATACTATAAATCGATTTCCGTTTTTTCATGAAAATATTGACCAAGCTTGGAAAATATACTTTTGGCAAAGGAATTGAGTCTTTGCCACAAACTCAGTTTTTAAATATTCTATATCTTTGCAACCCAATGTCGTTGACTTAAGATATTTCAAACTATAAATTCTGGTATTTCAATAATTTGAGTATGATATATTAAAGGTTTACACCATCAAATTTCTAAGATATAGAGAGATTAGAAAATTTGAGTTTGCGACAAAGTCTCAATTTTTTTCAGTTTTTATTTTGAATTTTTAAAAACTTTGAAAATTCGAATTCCCCAAAAAAGATTGAAAAAAATCAATCAATTTACCTAACCTAAGAATAAAAACAATGAGGACGATGTAAGTTTTTAAGATTTTTTTCTATATTTTTAAGATTTAAAAAAATATATATCATCGACCCGTGGAATTTTTGTAAATCCTTAATTCAACCCGAAAAGATCTTTTTTTTAAGATACAGTGTTTCCCACAAAGGATGAGACTTCAGAGACGACCGTACAAAATTTATATTTACTTAAATTCATGATTATCTGCAACTGTATACAATTGTTGGACTCTTTGTCAAATCGTTAGATAAACCATTTATTGACTATTTTCGATGCAAAACAATTCATGTTGCTTTGGAATCATCATATCTAATAAGTTATTTTACTACCTGCCCCCTATTATTTTTTAACTTATTTGCCCCCTGTTATTTAACTACCTGCTCCCTGTTGTTTAACTACCTACCCCCTGTTATTTAACTACCTGCCCCCTGTTATTTAACTACCTACCCCTGTTATTTAACGACCTACCCCCTGCTATTTAACTACCTGCCCTCTGTTGTTTAACTACCTACCCCATGTTATTTAACTACTTGCCCCCTGTTATTTAACTACCTACCCCTTGTTATTTAACTACCTGCCCCCTGTTATTTAACTACCTGCCACTGTTATTTAACTACCTACCTATGTCCTGGTCCAACTGTTCTGGACACTATTATGATTGATTGATATATTAATGCCCGGTATTAGTCTGTCTATATGAGTTGCTCCCTGGAGCTGGTTTAAGGAATCATTATCTAGTTCTAATTACGTTAATGATCCTG